GTGTAGAGTCACCGCTCTGGTTCCTCATGCGCTTTCTTTGCTTGGCTCGGCGATTTTTGAACCATACCTGCAATACAATAGATACTTAGCTTTACCTCAGCTTTATATTTCCCTAGTTGGGTAAGTGCCAGATAACTCTTCTCTCATAACATTTTCTCATATTTTTTTAATACTGAGCCTTTGAGATAGAAGCAAGGTTTCGGTTACAGTGATGTTTGGTGATTTTAGATCATCACCACCATGTCTTTAAAATCAGCATTTATACCTTCCAGGTGTCAATGACCTATTAACCTTCTACCTATTACCGTAACTGTTTAGCTAACTATATTTGTATAGTGGTTTAGTGCCAGCGACATTCGTTGAGCGATCGGCAAATGTTTGAAGTGCGCAATAGAGAGAGCGAGCAACTAGAGGGATTAGGGCAGACACATCTGTTCTAACCGAAAACACGTGTACTCAGCGAATTAGCAGTGCTATGAGAGGGCAACGATGATCATCTACAAGTCAATATCGTCGCTACTTCAAAGAAATCCATGTTGTAGAAGTACTTGCTATTTCCCTTAATATTAAATTCATCTCCTTAGATTCCACTGATAGCACTCTAAACTTAACCCAAAGCGCTTATATGTTCATAGAATCACTACAGCTAGAGCTGCAAGTGCAGATCCGAGCACCTGCTTTTGAGCAAATACTACAGTATCCTAGACCTGCAAAGCGGTGATAAACACATTTCGTTAATGCTACAGTGCCATTATATGAGAAAAATCCATAACTTCAGGCTTGACCAAACAACTTTTTCTCCAGAGGACATTGGAAAACGAAATTGGAACAGCAATTTATAGGCCTCTTAATGTCATATGCATGGATTTCTTTAGTTTTGATTTTCTTGTAAATCTTATATTTCAACGTTAGAAGATTCGTAATTCATAATTTATTGTAAATGTGACAGGTGGGACAAGAAATGGGAAGAAGCTCCACCGATCACAAGTAAAAACCTCATTCCCGCTCACTAAATTAAGCCTATAACGACGCTTTTCCTTTTTTATTTGAGTATTTTCTGAAGCTTTTTATGAGGCTAATTCAGAAAGGCAGAGCTTTGACCCAAATTTTCATTCAGGCGCAAAAAACAGAAAAATAAGGAGCAGATCAGATTGAATATACTTTTAAGTAATGTTTGCGGGAAAAAATGCTAAATGAATTATGAAATGTAATCTTTCAAAAACGCGAAAGCCTGTAAATCAGAAGTGGTGGAAATGGGTATGCAGTCCTGAGAACAGGATCAGCTCTTTAGGATCTAACTCAAACTTGGATAGGAGTTTGAGCTCAAAAGAGGAAGAAACTGTCGAGAAATTCAGAGTGTCCTACTAATCGTTTTAACAACATTTATCTATTTACCCATTTGAAGATGTTATTGCTGATAAGTAATTAATGAGTATTCAATAGCTAATCTATAATTGTCAAACATACATAACATGAAAATTTTGGTTTTTGCGTCTTAGTAATTACTTTTATAAGCGCAGCATGCTCTATTCCCTAATCTTGATCTTTTTTTATTAGTAAATACTCTTTTTCTTCGCTATTCAAGGAAATTTATTAGATATTAGAGAATTATTGTATATAGATCAGTCATTCTAGTGGGAAAAAGTGAGCCAAAATGCTAGTTTGATCGAATCAGAGTTATATCAAGTGCCATAAGCCAAAAACTTAGCTAACTCTTTCAAGTAATTCTTAAAAATTTCCAGTTACTCCTTCTTCTTCATCGCTCATTCTTTAGTTTCAATGATTTCATACCTCCAGTAAACAAGCAGCTACTTCTTTTGTGCTATATGCCCACCTGAATTCTTGCCTCTGGCAATTGTGTTTCCTTTGCCAGTTTCTCTCGTTGCGCTATATCCGGATAGTGGCACTGCTCAAAAGTTTTCTCAAGCTGATCCAATTGATCGTCACTAAACGCAGTGCGATTTCGTCTCATACGACGTTCAGATGTTGGTGAAGGAGTTTCTAAATATCTTATTTCGTAAAAATTTTGTGGTAACTTAAATTCAAAGTAGAAATTTTACTCAAAAGCATTAGTTCTCGTAAATCTTACCGGAATTCTTCAATTGTTGCGAAAATCCTTCAAAAGGGTACTGAAGCTGCATCATAGTAGTAAATGCGAGCTGCTGTAGGTCTGGGATCGTTTCGACACGCCCAGTTTCCACATTCTTGTCTGCCATTGGCTATCAAATGCAGTTCGACTCCACCTCTCCGCTACGATTGGCTGCCATGTGCAAATGTTATCGTCGGCTCAGCGTTAGTTGACGAGAGGATTATACGCGCGGATCAGCTGGCCTAACACTAATTTCCGGTCGGGAATTAGGGTCGTCGTCTACTGTTACCGTATGCATATAGCTCAATGAGCAAAAGTAGGAATAATCAGGGGGAAGTGTATAATTAGTGGGGTTTCAGGGGATCAGTAACTGGAAAGCTGCTTGAAAATTCAGTTTTCAGATACAAGGGTATTGGTCGCAATAAAATATTGAAATTTAGGGAGATACATGCTCATTTATAGTTGCAAGAATTTTATAAGAATTTGGGATTTAAAAGCAATGAGACCCAATAAATATGCGAAATATTAGGAAGGTTGTCACTATTATTCTCCCAGGAGTTCGACATTTACAGTACAGCAAATTTGACAGAACTCGAATAATTTAATAAATTTGCTAAATTTCATCAAAACAAGCACCACATCGATTCCTCAAAGCTTCAAGAAATTTGAAAATGTAAAAAAAAATGTGAGTCGAAAGACACAAGTTCACTTGAAAACAGCATCGTTACTATTACTGTGCTGGGAGGAAATCTGTGAACAAGCTAAGAACAGATAAGAAGGTTAAGCGCTAAGTACTTTAAGCCGATTACCTGCTTCTTACTTCTTCGCGGAACTGACTATGTACTACTGCACTTTGGTTCTCACTAATTCTCCCAATAAAAAAGCAAGTGTTTGAAAAGAGTAGAGGTTTTATGATATTAGCTGCTGTATACTGATTGTTTCAATACAAAATAAGAGTTCGTTTTGAGTTTATTATATCAGCAAAAGTGAGCGATTTCAGATCTTTTGGCTGTCACCGCGAAACACACAGTGCAATAAGTATGATTCGGGTCAAAATTAATTTTATACTGTAAATGAAACTTTGGTAAATATTAGAACATGGTTTTCTTTTTATTATCGCTTCAC